GCTGCAGAACTTAAGCCTCTAGTTGGAGACGCAAAGTTACTGTTGCTGCTGTGGCAATCAACACCCCTAAACCAAACCTAATCACAGCAATGACAGCTGAGAAGCAGCACCATGGTGGAGTAATGGCTTCCATGGAGAGAGTGCCAGCCAAGAGAGATCTTGCTAGGAGAGAAGGAGAGATGGTGCTGCTGACCTAGCCTAGAAGGGAGAGCCAGAGAATATAATTGCATAACACTAATGACAAACATAAAATTTCACAAGTTCCTTTTATGTATTTGGAAATCAATACTGGATTCACACATAATGCTGACTATTATAAGTGTAGTTTCAATTTGAAGAAATAAATAAAAACTATTCTCTTTATCTTTAGTATAATGGTTAAACTTCAACTACAGCAAAGTTGTCTCATAACAAAGAGATTTCATAAAAGTCATAGGAAATCAGGTGTTAAAAATATAAATGGATCATCAGTATTTTACAAGTCATTTTATCTTTAGATTTTATGATTATAATTTTTAAGGTTAATCATTATCAATAATCTCAATATTGAGAAATCATAAATATATAACTCTAAATCATAATTTTATAACCATTAATAATATAATAATAAAATAGATATCAAACTCTTGTATTTTTAATATTTTAGAGAATATAATAATAATTATAGAAAAGCTTAGATTTAAACCTTGCTCTTACACATAGTGTCTCTTAGAAGGAATTATAACAAACAGACCCATAAAATCAAAAAATCTTTAAGAATGCAGAATTTCCAATAACTCTATATTCCATTACCACATCCATAAAAATATTATATACCATTATATTGATCATATTTTAATTTAAATATATTTATCTTTATTGTTAGCATATTATGTTCTTTATTTAAGCTATAACCAGTTTGTAAATCCACACATAATACATTTGTCATTGTTGAAAGCCACTATTCACTCAAGTAATTATAATCGAATGCCACATCTAAAGATAAAACCATTATAGAATACTATAATAAAAGCCTCTTCAGCATTACACGACTAAAAAAGCCATCATGTTAAGTGGCTTTTATTGTGAAAAACTACATAAATTCCAAAAGCCACAATCTTTGGCTCATTATGATTCTGGTGATGTGCAAATGAAACTTGTAAGATGCTTCGGTTAGGGTTGAGAAGTTTGTCAATGAGCATTGTCAGTGTAGGGAATATCAAGTGGGATATATCATTTTTGTGTGAGTGGTCTTTTTGTCAAGTGAGTGTTAAAACATCTTAGTGCCTTTGGAAAGTGGGAAGAGTGACAAACTTTCTCACTGATATGTTGATTTATATAAAGTGTTGGAGCACATTGATAATGCAACTTATTAGATCAGTGTGAAGATTCATCCAATATTTTATGTAAGTGAGTTGAAAGTGTGCTATCTTGGAGTGAAGAGCCCAGTGACTCTTTGATGTATAAGGCTTTGGATGACGGACCAGGAGTTTGAGTAAAGTTCCCTATAAAAAGTGATCACCAATTCAACTCATCCTTGGGATAGAAGGGATGAATTGTTAAGTGCCAAATTTTACCACATCATTATTCTTCTAATGCTGATACCTAACCTACTATAGAGTCTCACATTAGGAGCGGTGGCATGGTGGAGCTTTTGAGGTAGCTTGAAGTGGTTGGGTGGTGAGGAACCAGAAAGAGATGTAATATAGTCCAGGCAAACCTAAACCTCTTTATCTTTGTTATTTACTACTGGATTATGATATCTATGTTCTTATTCCACCATTGCCAGAACTCTCATTTGACTATGCTATTCTCAGACTTTCTCTTTTGTGTTGCATGGTTACTGTTCCAGGTTCATCTAGGATGAAGATCAGCATCTTCTTGCTTGGATTGCTGAACTTCATATAAAATCAGGAAGACAAAGCCATGTCCTGCATGCAGCATGCAGAATCTCGACCTCCTGTGAAGAACACCTTGTTCAGTGTGGGATGCAAGCTGAGAGAGTAAAATCCAAGTAGAAAAGAGACATTGTAGTGACATCCCTTCGTGGATTGGCAGACTGTAAGTAGCTTTGAAAAAGTTAAGATGTAGACATCTGCTTCTTTCTTTTTTTCTAAAACACAACTGAGAACAAGTAGAAAGAGGTAGAGTTTACTTAATTGCAAAGCTTGCAGCTGAACTAATAGTTCTAGAGAAATGGCAGAAATTTTAATATCGGCACACAAAGACAATGAAGAAGGGAATGATGGACACCACATCAATCAGCAGGTAATTCTATATTCTTTCTCATTCGACAGCGTTTTTTTGCTTAGATCAGGACGAGCTATCTGTCTAACTCATTCTCAAGGCAACCTCTAGAAACTTCATTGTTTCTACACAACCCTCGTCCTGATAGAGATGTTGCTGAAGATAATTGGTAATGAGTTAAGTTCAAGCATAAAGACTCTTGGATAATTCTCTGCATTCTTCACTTTTTCTTTGTGTGTGCCTACAGGTTAGCGTTTCAAACATGACCACACTAGCCATTTGGAAGCTGTTCTCTCCTTTACAGCTGTTATGTTGTTTGTTTCCCGAGAAAGTCTCTTTTGCCATATTTTCTCACCAGTGGCTCGGTGATGACACCCACTATAATCGTACTTCCCAAGCATGGCAGAGATCATGGCTCTTTGTCTCTTTATGTTCTCAGGTGTTAGATTTCAAGTCATGAAAAGGACGGAGTTTGCATTAGGCCTGACTTCAGGATCTTTGTAAATTCGTTCATCACAGTTTTTCAGCTTTGCATTGTTCTCATAAGTTGGCACAGCTTGAACTCTTATGTCTTACAGGTTACAATGACTGATGATCAATGTCTTACATTATGTTCGAACATGATCATTTTTGGGCTGGTGACTGAGAACTTGATCATCACTCCAAATCATCTCGAGGATTACAGGGTCCTATGGTTCAAGAAACATTCGACAAGCAGGAAATGTATGAAGCTGTGGTTGGAGTAATATCTTCACGAGCTGTATCTTTTTTCTCTGGTTGCTGATGTTCTGTTGCAATGAAGATAAGCGTCTTACCTCGGGCGAGAAAGACTGCACAATTAGTGCTAGTCAGGTATTGCTGGTTCTGTTTTTCTCGCAAAATTTAATTTTTTCCATCAGGTGTCCGAGGCTGGCGACTTTAAGCAATCATATTGGTGGCAAAGTTTTGGAGGTTGATTTAACAAAAAAGTGGCTGTGTACAGGTAATATCTTTCATATTCACGGATAATTAACCACTAATGGCTCACCATGCAGGAAGATATTTTTCATGCTTGTCTAGTATGAAGGGTAAACTCATTGGATTTCCATTCCAGGTGCTTATGTCTTATGCTTTCAGTTACGGACAATCTGCCAGCTAGGGACGAGGTGAGAGGGTCAGTCAGGCTCACTGGCGCGGCCACCGGAGTAACCTGGCTCAGCGAAAAAGCTTCGTTCTTGCTGGCGACCATAGACGAAAGGCTGAGTGCACAGCTGTACTGATCGTGGCCAGTTTTGTCTAGTGAGTTCTACAGTTTTTCTTTTTCTTTTTCTTTTGCAGCGAGCCTTCTGTGGGTTTCTGGACCAAAATGGAGGTGAAGATGTGCTTAGCAACTGGTCATTGGGAATGCGGTCATTTTTGTGGTGATCTAGAGCTCAAGAGTTTAATTCGATGGCTGGATGCTTCTTAGGTAAGAGTTTCAGCTAATCAAATCTTGGAGATAGATCTTCCGTGATATTTTATTAATTCTGCAGCGTCGAATGCTTGAAGCTCAACATGAGGTAAATTTGAGATTTACTTCAAAGATGAGGCGAGCTTCAACATTCTTTAGCAAACTTCTAGATCGTCAGGCATTTATTACCGTTAGTGCCGTCTCCTTTAGCAAAACTGAAGTTGGGTCATGTTGGCCTCCCATTGGTGTCAAACTTGGGAGAGCTTTCTGCTTTCTATGCCGAGAAAGACCTCTCTTTTCAATCCAAAACACTTATCGATGTCTTCTCTTGAGTTCACTATAAAGCTCCAGGCCTTGCATTGTACTCTAGAAACTTCAAAAAGATGGATACCAGATTTTGCAAAGAGTTGACTGTGTAAGCATAGAGTGCATTCACGAACTTCATTCTTGGTGGTAAGCATGTACTTCCTGGGTGGAAATGGTGAAAGGTGGAGAGGACTCTCATCAGGCCTCACAAGCCTTCTCTCTCAAGCATAAAGTTGGAAAGTTCTTGGAAGTGCTTTGAGTCTGTCACTGATATTTTAAAGCCATTGTGACGCCTGATATCTTTAGCACAATTGCGGTTCCCAGAGGTTTATCAGGCCTTCCGGGTCACGTCTCAAAGAGTCCAATCAAATATAATTCTCTCCAGCTCCAGTGAATGAATGAGACCAGAAAACAAAAACTGCGAGCTATGGTTGTATATGTGTACGAACGAATCACGAGTAATCTAGCCGTCTTCTCTGAATTTTTAGTGTTTTTGGGCGATTGAATGTGTTTTCGATAGCCATGGCAGGCAAGAAAGTATTTTACTTTCCCAGAACAGCTGGGAGCTCAGATAGTTTCATTTTGAACAACAACGACTCTTCACGGGGTGACTTGGCACTCTCTTTTAATTACAGGAATCGAGGTTGTCATTAGGGCTATCCCCGTCTTCGTATCTGCAGTTCACGACTCGAATCACTAACAATTCCTAGGTTACACTCGGCGTGAACAGCAAGTCAAATGGCAACTTCTTTAAGACGACGAGCCACGGTGACTATGCCCGTTTTTGCGGGGTCTATGGGAGACACAATTATACAATCATTTACCACGTAAATATTTCCAGATTCTTGTTTTTTACTTGAAAACCCTTTTCAGCTATGAAGAATATCTGGACAGCCAAATATCTGCAACCGACCTCTTTTACCTCGAGGACATAGATCTAGCAAGAAAGCTAATCGAGCTTGGGTAGGAAGATCTTTCTGCCCCTAAGATTCTCAATCATGTAATAATTTTAATCAGCTATCGAAGCAACGCAGAAATTATGACTAGAAGTCAGTTTGTTGCTCAGAAGGAAGCTGCGGAGCAAGCACGGTTACTGGTACACACATGTATTTTTAGCTTTCCTTAATGATTTTAGATGCTGTCTTTGTAGGCCTTAAAAAAGGTTCCCAAGAAAATCTTTTCATCTGGGAAGGATCTCTCAGGCTTCCCAGTGCTTCAAGCTTTGGCAGAGAGAGAGATTCCAATTAGAAACGGAACATTATCGGTACCAAACGATCCTTTTTCCTGTGTGTTTTGCTAGAATTGTGACTTTCAAACTACACAGACAATTGTCTACATTCGAGACTTCAATGCGAAGGGCCATGAAGTAAGTCAACATAAGTTTGTTTATTCTCGTTTCCAAGTCAAAATATTCTGGGCAAGAAGATTTCAGGATATGTTGATTACGGGGAAAGAATACGAACTGAAGATTTGGAGCCAGTGTTCGAACTCAAAAAGCGATTTCTTCCCGCACTATTTGACCTGTCATATTATAATTGGTATAAGATATTGTAGTTATGAAACCGTACCTTACTAAAACTATTTTACAGGACTACGCTGCAAACATTTCAAAACTCGTCATTGAATTTTCAGGCAAGATGAGGATAAACTTCTATTACTAAGTTATGGTATTTATTGACCATAGGTCGTTGCAGAAGGCGATGCTGGTGTAATGTTTAAAAGCAAAAAGGACCGAAAGATGTTGAATGTAAGAAATTCCTTACATTTTACTTCTTTAGGATCACTGGAAGAATGTATTTGTGTAGGTCCATGCTGCTATGGATCCAGGGGATAACTCTACGAGGACTGAAGTATGTCCATCTTTGAATTTCATGTAGCTTGATAGTTCCTTGCAGATTCCAACACACGAGTATAAACAAGCTGTGCTTTTTGACCATGTTACGCGAAAGAAAGGCTTGTAGAAACGCCTACTTGTCTCAATTCAAAACACCTCAAGCATGTACCATCATACTTACAAAATGGTTTCTTGGAGCCTGGCATATTAGTTGCAAAGGTGCCTCGATCTGGATCCTAAAATAACGAAACACTTCACCTCATGCAGCCAACGTCCACTAGTGACAACCTCAGTGGTTCTCACAGAAATTCTTCGTCTCAATTCAATCATCTGATATGGTGCCTCGTACTGCATTTGATCAGGGCTTCTTAATCATGCTTGTACATGGGAGTGTCGCAATGTTGACCTTGCAAATAAATTAAAACATCTTGCTCCTAACGGTTTACTTGTCAAATAGATTAAACAAGTATTATGTTTTGAAGTTTGGTGCTCGTGCCATCGGAACCCTGGAAACAGTTGAAGATGTGCTTTGTTGACATTGAAATGGGCTAAGGTCACGCCGTTAGGACTAAGTGCTGATGTGACAAAGTGGTTCATGCTTAGAGGACAGAGGAGATGAGCAGTGGGTGCTGAGTGTGAGTGTTCTTGAGCCTCAGGGTGACAATCACTCTTGCTTCTTAATGAGAGCTTGTCCCAGTTATGGTGTGAGGTGACACAGGAGCCACTGCTTCTAGCATTGTGCTCAAAGCATTGATGTCATGAGCATGACTACTCTTATCATGCTCCCAACAGGTCACTGATATCTTTCTCCAGCACCTCTAACATGGTCCATCAAATGAAGGACAGGCACACATTGCTAGCATCAGTGTCTCAAATGTGATGCAATAAATTGGGGCAAAGGTTTGCTTTTTGAGGCATAATAGCCTGCTTCTCTGTTTGAACATCCCATGCGTGAGATGAAGCTTACTGTGGCTGAAGCAGGCTAGCAATTTCTTCTAGGAAAATGGCAAGTACTAAGGCAAATGAAGCTCAGGATATAATGAGTGAGGCATGTACTCTTGGTGTGAGAGCTATACAATTCTTGAGCAGTGTTTTAGACCAAGGTCTTGAGATTTAGTTCCTAACACGGAGTTCCCAGCTTAGAGACGCTGCACATGTGACTGTCACCATCATTTTCTGTGCAGTGACGGCGATAAAATGATGGTGGCACTGTACATGTAACCATCATTCACGTCAGAGTATTCTAGAATATTCTAAAATCAAGTTACTGTTGAGTGAGATTTCTATATCAGACCAAGGTCTCTTCATTGGTTCCGTCATTGGGTGGACAAGGTTGGAATGCAAGATCCAACAAGGTGGAGAGAGTTCTTCAGAGTTTCCGAGGAGCAGTTTATGACAATCTGCGAACTTGTTGCTCCGTCAATGCAGAAAAACATTCTATCTAGAGATATTCCTATTGGTAAGCAAGTTGCCATTGCTTTATGGAGATTAGCTTCAGGTGATTCTTTTGCTAGTTTGGCAGAGCATTTTGGTGTTTCTAAAGCAACTGTCTGGAAGTATTGTCAGAAGTTCTCTGACACAACATTCTAGCATCTAGGACAATTTTTTTGTGTGGCCAGCAGATCTGTGAACAGTAAAAACAGGTTTCAAGAGTCTTTGTGGCTTCCCGAATTGCTATGATGCAATTGACTGCACGCATTTCAAAGTTGAGCTTCCTGGAAATGCTTTTACAAGTGATTATTACAACAAGGACAAGGATTACTCAATTGTCATGCAAGCAATCGTGGATAATGAAGCAAGGTTCCTGGAAATTCGAGTTGGAGATCCTGCGAGTTACAATGACATAACCATTTTGAGGAAGAGTTCATTCTACAGAAGAGCTCAATCAGGTGAGATTCTTAACGGACCAGCAGTCTCAAGAGGCCAATATTAGTTTTGGGAGTACATCATTGGAGACTCAGGATACTACAAACTTCCATGGTTGGTTATACTGTTTCCAGGTGCAAATGGAACTGAATTGAGGGAAGCATTTAACTTTTACTTGTTGTCTTTGAGGATGGCATGTGAGAGAAGTTTCAAATTGCTTAAAGGTTGCTGCTATGGAGCTTAGAAAAATTCTCACTACTTATGTAATAGACTTAAACAAATCCACTTGAAGCTCATGAATTTGTTTATTTTAGTGCGCTCTATTTAACACAGAAACTCAAGTTTTATTTTTCAGGGTTTCGACTGTGACACCCACATTTCCAGCCTGTGCAGCTTCATGCCGCTCAAGGCACTGCACGGCGAGCTGCGCAGTCACCTTGCAGCACTCAAGAACGAGCTCATCGAGCTCATCAACAAGGATTACAAAGATTTCGTGAGCCTCAGCATGCAGCTTGTGGATGTGGATGGTGCTGTGCTCCGGATGTGCACGCCATTGCAAGAGCTGCGAGGTAAGCTTGTCACCGTGCGCAATGGTGTTGATGGAGTGCTGCTCGTGCTCCAGGACGCGTTCAAGCAGAGATCCGAGGCCTTTGCATCGCAGGAGATTCTCAAGTTGCTGCTCGACACCTCTCATGTGGTTTCCAAGGTAAGATTGAGTGGAGCGAGTCCTTTTATTTCAATTCCTAGCTTTCTTGCAGATCGAGAAGCTCTTGCTGGAGCTCAAGGAAAATAGAATTTCCAATGGAAATCTAGTGAGTGGCAGTGAAGGATCTCTGGATCCGGTCGACAACAACAGTGGTGATGACCCGCAGAGTCGATTGTTGGAGCGAATTATGAGTGAGATGAATAGTCTAAAGTTCTGCATCCAGGTGAAGTGACGAGAAGGTTCTCTACCATTGTCTACGTGCTTATGTGGCTATTGACAACACTGCTGGAGCTGAAGAGGCTTTTCATATCATAATTGTGGCACCTTTTATCTCCAGGCTTTTTCCTGGGAATTCTTCCAAAGACTTGGTGGGTGGAGGAGCTGCAGACAAGCTGGAGGAAGACTATAAACAGGCTGAGGTGCATATTACTCGAGATTGTAAGTTCATGTTGGATATCGTAGTGTCTGGTAAGCTTTCCAAATGCCTTTTTCTTATTTTGCTCGTTTTCTTGTGGTCTCGTTTCTTTTCAGAAAACTCTGGACTTAATGTGTTTGATGTTCTTGGAAACTCCATTCTTAAAGAAGTGCGCTCAGCAATAGTGGCAGGCAAGCCTGGTGCACTTTCACCTGGGAAACCAGCAGAGTTTTTGGCAAATTACAAGTCAAGCCTGAAGTTTCTATCGGTAGTAGAAGCTTGGGTTTTGCTAAGAAAGACCAACTCAAGCATATCAATTTCAGGATACTGTCAGTCACAATCGGCGGTTCTTGCTCTTTGTTCTCAAGCAAGTTATGCTGAATTCGTGAAGCTTTGGAACTTGCCAGCTTATTTTACCCTGCGGTGGTAGGCGGGGTGGTAGAAGGCCTGGACGTTGTCCAGAAGATCGCAAGTACCAGGGTGGTCAAAGATAACACAAGCAATCTTTACTTCTGGTATGTATTTTCTTCTCTTTGTTCCTTGGGAAAAATCTCATCTCGGATCCCCATAGCACAGCCAAGCTTATAGGCGATACCCGAGCAGTGGTCGCTGAGAGGGGACTCAATCAACCATAGGCAAAGATTGTCATTTTGCAGTGGGTACTTACTCTTGTAAAGTTCTTTCTATCCTTTCAATCTAGCTCTGATCCATGCCAGACGACTGATACAAACAGCTTTATGCAAACGCTCATGTCCTTCCAACAAGAATTCTCTTTCTAAATCGATGGAATCGATCCAAGGATACTGGCAGCAGCAACGCAAGGTGGGAATGCTAGGCCTAGAATTGTCGATCAGGTAAATCATCACATCTTCATCAGTTCATCATCTCTCTTGTTGCTTCGGAGATAGTAATCAGAAACGCTGTAAACTACAAAAGTGAAGTTCATGAATAAGAAATGAATTTACTTACCAAAGAATCAGCAATCACAAACAAGGCTTGAGCTACTTGATCCACACTCTTCACCATCTGGCTATCCATAGACAGAATACACTCCATGAATTCTTCCTTCTTCAGATTATGACAACAAATTTCCTTCTGTCTATCTTCCATTGTATCAATGAGCCTCACATTGTTGTCATGCAACGCTCCTGCAAGTTGTTCTGCAAGTTGTGTGTGGGACTTCTTCCTCAGCCGGCCTGAACTACGTTTTTCAGGATCGTTGTTATTTCCTATCATTGCCAAAAATGATTATGAACAAAAACTACAAAACATACCTTCAGGTTTTGATTCTCCATATGGAGATGATGGTGATTGTTGTCATGAAGCTCATGGTGTCGGTAATGGTGATCATTGGGATGTAGGTGGTGAAGACATTGATTCCTAAGTCTGTCCCTGTGAATTCACAGTTCGACGGTCCTGAAGCAACTTGTCCATCATTGCGTAGAGTTGATCATTGAACTTTGGTGGCAAATGCTTTACGACATTGCTCCGTTGTCATGTTCTAGTAACTGCTTCTGCTAGTAGGAACATGATATTCATATGATTTGATTTTGTTGAACTCTTTGTAGATATACTCCCAATGAGATTGACATTGCCTAGGCAAATGGTTGACATCATGTGTCAAATAGTAGCTCCAAACTTATTGAACATGAAAAATCCAAACTTACTTAGAGACTTGCTGCCAACGAACACTTGCAGTCTTGTGCCTCTTTTGAATGCTGCCTCGCTGCTGTAAGAAGAAATCATGCTTCTTTTCTTCATTCAAAACCAACAATTCATTCAAAGACCAATGCCCCCGATTTCCAGCTGGTTTCGGAGGCTTCGGTGGAGTGGGAGCAGTAAAATTCCCCTTGCTGAATTGAGAACCATCATACAGAACCTCTTGCTAACATTGAGTGGAGAACATAATCTCCAAATCATTCAGCTGCTACTCTCCCATTCCGCTCAAGACCATAAAACCAAGAATTGACATGTCAGCAATAGTGGCAGGAAGAAATAACTGTCACATCAGCATTTTAACATGCTTTTTCAGGTTTGATGGTGGTCAACCGGCTGGGCCGGTTTTGAAAAACATTCAAATTGGTTTCACCGTCACAATGCCACCGTTAAAAAAATGATGGTGATAGTGACATGTACTAGGGCAACGTCACTTCAAATTGCTGATGTGGCTGTCACAATTTAACTGTGATGGTCACATGTGAAGCGTCTATTAGGGTAGGGTTTGATGTGTCCACTGCACCCCTAAAATTTTAAGGTTACATATAAAGATTACATATGAGAGGGAGGTGGATCTATCATTAGGGCTTTAGAATGCCCCAAAAATTGGTGAATCTAGCAATTTCAGTCTAGTCTAGCCTTCTTATGAGGATTTGTGCATTTCATGAGAGATGAAGTTGATTTTACATCATTAGAAAGAGGAAGCCATGGCCTTCTGATTGGCAATGGAAATGCAACTCTTCTTTATTTGGGTTAGCAATTTGAAGGCCTTGACTTCCTCAATAACAAGGCCAATGGAAATTGCCTTTCTTTCCATTTCTTTGTATGAGTGTCATGGCTCTTCATGTTGGTCTTCTTCTCTTTATCTAAGTCTAAACTTTCCAATGTGTCTATTTGTGTCCAATTTTGTAGCCAGAGTTAAGAGATATTTGTTAAAACATATTTGCCAAAGGTATTTGTGAATGTTTAATCCATGTCTTTTGGTTTTTTCACTTTATCTCCACATTCTTCATCTGATTTGTATGTGTCCACATATTTTTTGAGATACCCACAAAAGTTTTAGTGTCCTTTCCCACTTTCTTTAGCTAGATTAGCATTTGTGGGACATACAGTTATCTTTGTTGGAGATTTCTTCTTTGGGACACTCTTTTTTTTTTAAGGCATTGATAAAGATGGTGAAGAGGGAAAATTAAAAATTCTGAGAATTATCTAGAAACTTAAATCTTATAGCTTGTTCAGTGATTAAAGAGCACTCATAGCTGCATGACATGAATAAAGAAATATAGAAATAAAGGTGAGAAAAATAGAGAAAAAATGAGAGAAAAACAAATGATAAATAAAAAGAAAAAAGAAGAAAGAGCTCCCAATACCAGAATGCCTTAAGGAGCATATTCTATCTTATTCCTAAAAGGGCACTACTGCCTCTATTAACAAAAGTGTGCACAAATCACCTCCATTGCCTTCATTATTATGATAGAAGAAATCTCAGAACTAGTTGGTACTGACGTGAATGACCCAATCCTGGAGCTGAGAATGACTAGAAGAAGGTTCTGCTCAATATTGAGACAGCAAGAAAATGGTTACTTCTCAAAATCACCACTTTGTAACATGCTTGCTTTTGGCAGCCCAAAACTCACATGTAACACATCCACTATCTTGAGCAGTGGGTGAAGAAGAGGAGTCACCATGAAGATTTAATTGGAAAAGCATTGGTAGAAAAGGTTTTGTAAGAGAAAACTTGTCTACTACATCAAATGCCCACAAGCCAAGTGCATAAGATCCATGATTTTCAACTTGCTTTAAAGGTGGTTAAAAATCCTCTTCAAGCCTAATATCTCCTTACTATGGAAGTGAAAACATGGCTAGATCAACCATGGCAACCATCATCATGCTTCTTTGCCAATAACTTGTAAATGTCTAAGCTCTTGACTGGACTCTAAGAAAAAAATAATTGCATACCTCACACAAAACAAGAAATAGAATTCTGATTGTCAAAATTCTAGATCTATCAAATCTAGGATTCATGAAAGATAAAAAGCCAAAAGCCTGATCCAATTCAACAATAATAGGAATTGAAAAGAAATAAAAAGATCTAGATCAAATAAAAGACTTAAGTAGAAATACTTAGCTTGAAATTGATATGGATCCTTTTATTTTTGTTCTAGAACTTAATACTCCAAATGATGCCTTTGCTAAAAAGTGAGACATGCCACTGTGGTCACCATCTGTTGCAAGAGAATCCTGAAAAATGCCACTGAAAAATGTGTCATATTATCAATCTCAATAATGAACCTAATGGATTAATCTCTAAGTATATCTGGGAATATTCCTAGAATCATACCCACAATCTAACACCACATCCTTGGGTATAGCTTCAAATCTAGCTACTAGACCAGCTCTAAGCTTTCAGAGTGGGATCTTCCAGCCAGCCTCCACAGTCTCTCAGGTCCTGGAGGACATTCTCACTCAAATTTCTGCACTTTATCTAGATCATGCTCAGTGAGCTTAGTTGGCAAGCTTTTAAGAAGCATTCCTGGTTTAAACACTCAAAAAACTCTTGATCTCATTCTTTGTAGTAACATTCAGATAAGACACTCTTCCTCAAAGGCATAAACAATGCTCAGCTCTCATTTTCAAAGCAACATCATCTCCCTTGTTGGCATACTCCAGTGGCTTGGAAGTGGCTGGCAACATGGTTGTTCAAAAGATTTACTAATTATACTGTGATTCTGGCTTGCATTTGCAAGTGTTAAGATCTCCATTGATGGCATGGGTTTGACATTTGACTTCCTTATAAGGGACTACCACCATCATCTCAGACTCTATCTTGGGATGGATATTTGAGTGTATAATGCAATATGACAGACTTCTTCTATATGGATTGGACTATTCCATATTGGACTTGTCTAGCATCACCATGCATATTCCAAAGTTCCTTGGCCTAAAAAAGAACTGGAGAATCAGCCATGATATCTTTGCAACCACAGAGTCAAGAATCAAGGTAGAAATTTTTCTAGCCACTTTTCTGACTCTAGCACCACATAAGGAGTCACTAGGACCCTTACTAAGGATATCTCACAACATTCACACAGGGTTTAGGGCCTTTTATGAACATTGTAGTTCCATAGGGCTTTATAAAAGCCTCTACCCCAGCTGTACCTACACCTAACTATGCTGCTGTGAGTCTGTGGTGCTGTTGATGCTAGAGATGCTGTTAGAACTCTATTGGACATTCCTTCTTCAAACAATAGTTGAAAACCTTTAACAGTTTTCTCTTTGGCCTGCTTCTCACCATCAATGCCAGCTTAGACTATCATTCAGCTTGTTTCCAAGAACCTTCTTCCCTTGTTTGGGTATATGAAAATACATTATCTAACTCTCTATTGGTGTGTCTATCCTTTTCTGTGTTTGCTTTAGGTCCAAGCCCAAACTCTATATAGTTGGTGGAATATCCATATACTCATATTAGGCCTCTAGTATGCTGAAATAACACTGGACTTTGTTTATCTCTATTGTTAAAGTTGAGATTAAATATTTTATAGGTTTACTAAGGAAGTTTAATTTTCCATCTATGGTGATTCAGATAGTTGGTGGTCAATTGAACCTCATTGGGATATTTTCTTTCATAATCTTAATGATTATGATATTGATGATTTTGCTATACTTTTGTATTGTTAGTATTTGCACATTTGCTAGTTAGCAATTGTATTAGTGTTTAAACAAGTTGAGTGACAAGTTAAGTTAGTTTTGTTTTAGACTAGATTGTTTAGTAAAGATT